CGTATTGTTTTCTTCCGAATACGTAAAGAGAGAATAAGAAGGCCACAATACACGGTTGTTTTTTTTTTTTTTTTTTTTTTTAATACGTATGTGTTGTTACCGTATATTGTCATAGAGAACTGCCCGGGGCAACGTCCCACTAGCAAAGGGGGTTGGATTAAACACCTGAATTTGGATGTGATTTATGGAGGGATGCAGAAAAGCTGATCAATCATGATTATCTGCACCTGTCAACAGATACATCCAGATTCAGGCATTAAATCCTAGCAAAGGGAGTTGGATTAAGCACCCTGAATTTGGGTGTGATTTGTGGAGGGATGCGAAAAGCAGATCGACAATGATTTTCTACACCCGTCAACAGACACATCCAGATTCAGACACTAAATCCAATCCGTTTTGCTAGTCGTACCTTGCCCCCGCTGAATGTTTCCTGTACTTATGTATGGGTGTCTTTGGGAGAGAGAGAGCTTCGACCCGGATGAATGGGAATGGCCCTGCCGCAAGCCAACCCCCATCTGGAAATACACGGTGAGAGAAGGGTACAATCGAGCTCACGGACCTCACCCCTCTACTACAACTGCGCAGAACAGATGGGGCCGTGACTCCCCGCTCCCAGCTGCAGACCTACCTGACATTTCCCTGGTAAATGTATCCGCAGATCATGCCTACCTCCCAGCGGTCCCTCCCCTGGCAGATCGATCGCATACAGGTGCCTTCCCACACCGGACAGGATCAGTGGCTGATCGATTGCACACCGGCGCCTTCCCACACTGGACAGGATCACAGCCAGATAGCAGATCGATTGCACACAGCTGCCTTCCCACACCGGACAGGATCACAGCCAGATCCGACTTGGAGCAGAAGGGGATACCGTCACGTATCGGCTCAATCCGTGGTCTGTCCACACAGTGCAGAAGAGCAGACTTGGAACACTGTTTGCTGGCCTGCCCGATGGCACTGCAAGCGTGGTGCTGGTGGGATGCGCTGTGGGAAAAGCTAACAGATAACCCCTTCCACTGGGGCATTAAGCTCATCCTTTGTCCTTTTTTTTTTCACTGGGACATTAAGCACATCCTGCTGGGAAACTCAAGAGATTCTCCTCTGACGTGGACAGCGTTCCAGCGCCACCTTTTGAAAATGACCAGGCTGACCGTCCTCGTGACGATTTGGAGGATGAGATGCTCCGTGGAAAGAAAAGGATTCTCCTTTGGCTTCCCTCCTCAGGCAAAGGCAGAGATTGTGGAAACCATACGGGTGAATATAGTCAGAGCAGGGAAGTCTAAGAGTCTTCTGTGATGGACCTCGCTGTTAGACAACAAATAATGCGGGACTTCACAGAACTCTGGATTGACCCGCGTTAAAAAAAAAAAAAAAAAACTATGCGACGTGGCGGCCAACGGGGTGTCACAGTGGAAGAACGGGTTGGCACACGAGGAGCAGTGGCGTCTGAGGTCAGCAGACTGCTTCCCAACTCCCCTACCAGGGAAAAACCAACTGGCGGTCAACCCCACTGAGATGCTCCCAGCCTGTACCTCATGCAGCGGAGCCACATCCCTGGCAACCGGAGCCTGCACTGCCTCCGCCTCCGCCTCCGCCTCCGCCTCCGCCTGACCCATCCACACCATCGTTCTCCCCTCTCATGACTGACCCGCCTGCATCACAACCTCCCCCCCCCCCCCCCCCCCCCCCCCCCCCCCCCCCCCCCCCCCCCCCCCCCCCCCCCCCCCCCCCCCCCAAGGACCCCCCGCTGCCAACCCCCCCCCCCCCACACACACACAACTGACCCGCCTTCCCCTCACCTGAGCGCCCCCCACCCGCCCTATCTCCACCCTGTCCCTGCCACCACCCACCCCTCCACTTCCTTAGTCCCTCTGTTGGGGGTGTTTACCTGGGGCTGAAAAGTGGGGGTCCCGGTTACCCACTTGGGAGGGTCGACAGGCCCATTCCCAACAGCTCAACTGGAAGAAGTCGGAAATAAGCATGTCAGCGGCGCTGAGGGCGACATCGGCACCTCTAGAGCAGGGGCCACTGGAGGGGTGAAGCACGCAAGACATCAACAACACACCATAATAAGAGCTGAGCCGTGAGGCGAGCAAAACAACAGCTCGAGTCCCAGACCGATATCGAGTCCCAGGGCGATATTGAGTCCCAGGGCGATATTGAGTCCCAGGGCGATATTGAGTCCCGGAGTGACATTGAGTGCAACCCTGGTGCAGGGGCCAGGGGGTGCATGAACTGCGGATAATACTGAGGACTCCGAGGCACAACAACCACATAACCCATGAAGCCGATGCACAAACTGCGGACATTACTCAGGCGGCACAACAACCACACAACCCATGAAGCCGATGCACAGACTGCGGACAATACTGAGGCGGCGCAACAACCACACAACCCACGACGAGGTTGATAGGCAGTCAATCGCCCTCAGTGGCGACAGAAAAGTGTGGACTTCGGGGTCCGGGGGGATTTGGTAAAGTAGGAGGGGGCCTGCCAGCCTACTAGCAAATTGTGACAATGAAGGGGCTAGAGGGGTGGGAAGCTAGAAAGAGGGGAGTGCGGATTGGTAGAAGGACCATTGGCCTATCAGTGATGTGATAATGGGATGCTGGGCCCGGTTCCGAGCACGTGCCGCTCCCCACAAATAAGACCAGAGCCATCAGACTATGGGGACCCTACTACAAGCATGGCTCTCATCCCTGCCCGTAGTAAGGACGCCTCGAGTGATGTTCAAACAAAGTTTAACAAACCGAAAAAAGGGAAGTTCTTCAGATATGGAGGTTGCACTGCGTTTGGGAGAGAAAAGGGAAGACGAGACTTCCATTATTCCAGATACCGAAACCACTGAAAAAAAAAGAAAAAATCGCAACCATTAGATTCAGAGCTATAAACATGATTAGTATGCCCCGCCCTGCCGTCCAAGGATTACACACACACACACACACACACACGCGC